GGGAGGGTTAGCAACCCAGGATAACCCAGGGTAGGTAGTGTTAGCCACCCAAGATAACCCAGGGTAGGTAGTGTTAGCCACCCAAGATAACCCAGGGTTGGGAGGGTTAGCAACCCAGGATAACCCAGGGTAGGGAGGGTTAGCCACCCAGATAACCCAGGGTTAGGAGTGTTAGCAACCCTAAGAAAAGGGTCCCATGGTAGGGTTAGCAACCCAGGATACCCAGGGTAGGTAGTGTTAGCCACCCAAGATAACCCAGGGTTGGAGGTTAGCAACCCAGGATAACCCAGGTAGGAGATGGTAGCCACCCAGGATAACCCCAGGGAGGTAGTGTTAGCCACCCAAGATAACCCAGGTTGGGAGGGTTAGCAACCCAGGATAACCCAGGGTAGGTAGTGTTAGCCACCCAAGATAACCCAGGGTTGGGAGGGTTAGCAACCCAGGATAACCCAGGGTAGGTAGTGTTAGCCACCCAAGATAACCCAGGGTTGGGAGGGTTAGCAACCCAGGATAACCCAGGGTAGGTGTGTTAACCACCCAGAAACCCAGGTGGGGGTTAGCAACCCAGGTAGTGTTAGCCACCCAAGATAACCCAGGGTTGGAGGGTACAACCCAGGATAACCAGGTAGGTAGTGTTAGCCACCCAAGATAACCCAGGGTTGGGAGGGTTAGCAACCCAGGATAACCCAGGGTAGGTAGTGTTAGCCACCCAAGATAACCCAGGGTGGAGTGTTTAGCAACCAGGATACCCAGGTAGGAGTTAGCAACCCAGGATAACCCAGGGAGGGTTAGCCACCCAGGATAACCCAGGGTAAGTAGTGTTAGCCACCCAAAATAACCCAGGGTTGGGAGGGTTAGCAACCCAGGATAACCCAGGGTAGGTAGTGTTAGCCACCCAAATAACCCAGGTTGGAGTGGTTAGCCACCCAGGATAACCCAGGGTAGGTAGTGTTAGCAACCCAGGATAACCCAGGGTAGGTAGTGTTAGCCACCCAAGATAACCCAGGGTTGGGAGGGTTAGCAACCCAGGATAACCCAGGGTAGGTAGTGTTAGCCACCCAAAATAACCCAGGGTTGGGAGGGTTAGCAACCCAGGATAACCCAGGGTAGGGAGGGTAGCACCCAAGATAACCCAGGTTGGAGTGTAGCAACCCAGGATAACCAGGTAGGTGTGTTAGCCACCCAAAATAACCCAGGTTGGGAGGTTAAGCAACCCAGGATAACCCGGGTAGGTAGTGTTAGCCACCCAAAATAACCCAGGGTTGGGAGGGTTAGCAACCCAGGATAACCCAGGGTAGGGGGGGTTAGCCACCCAGGGTAGGTAGTGCTAGCAACCCAGGATAACCCAGGGTAGGTAGTGTTAGCCACCCAAAATAACCCAGGGTTGGGAGGGTTAGCAACCCAGGATAACCCAGGGTAGGTAGTGTTAGCCACCCAAAATAACCCAGGGTTGGGAGGGTTAGCAACCCAGGATAACCCAGGGTAGGTAGTGTTAGCCACCCAGGATAACCCAGGGTAGGTAGTGTTAGCCACCCAAAATAACCCAGGGTTGGGAGGGTTAGCAACCCAGGATAACCCAGGGTAGGTAGTGTTAGCCACCCAAAATAACCCAGGGTTGGGAGGGTTAGCAACCCAGGATAACCCAGGGTAGGGGGGGTTAGCCACCCAGGGTAGGTAGTGCTAGCAACCCAGGATAACCCAGGGTAGGTAGTGTTAGCCACCCAAAATAACCCAGGGTTGGGAGGGTTAGCAACCCAGGATAACCCAGGTAGGTAGTGTTAGCCACCCAAATAACCCAGGTAGGGAGGTAGCAACCAGGATAACCCAGGGTAGGTAGTGTTAGCCACCCAGGAAAACCCAGGGTTGGGAGGTAGCAACCCAGGATAACCCAGGGTAGGTAGTGTTAGCCACCCAAAATAACCCAGGGTTGGGAGGGTTAGCAACCCAGGATAACCCAGGGTAGGTAGTGTTAGCCACCCAAATAACCCAGGGTTGGGAGGGTTAGCAACCCAGGATAACCCAGGGTAGGTAGTGGTAGCCCCCAACAAATAGCCCAGGGTTGGGAGTGTTAACAACCCAGGATAACCCAGGGTAGGTAGTGTTAGCCACCCAAAATAACCCAGGGTTGGGAGGGTTAGAACAGTACACACATTTCTTACCTTAAATTAATTTTATCCACATGTTGAAGGCACCGCTTCTCGTCTGTTCTGTGAAGTTAAGCAATGTTGAGTTTGGTTGGTACTTGGATGGGTGACCACCTGGGAACACTAAATGCTACTCGCATCAAATATGACTGTTTAACTGCCTCCCAGCATACATAAGGGGGATTACCAATAGACCCCCCTGGCTGTCTTCAAGAAGGCTCTCGACAGACACCTAAAATCAGTAGTACCTGACCAGCTGGCTGTGGCTCGTACAATGGTCTACATGCAACCAGCAGCAATAACCTGGTTGATCAGTCTTTGATTCATCACAAAGCCCTCTCACAGACCAGGCCGTGGGGGCTTTGACCCCTGAAACCCCCTCCAGGTATACTCTGGTATTAACTTATAGTGAGTAATGAATATACTTATTGTAGGAATTTAGTTAGTTTATTCAGGTATACACAAATACAGTTACATAGATTATCATACATAGCAGCATATGTGTAAAGAACCTGGGATAACCCAAAAAAATCAGAGTGACTTACTTCCATTATCCTGAATTAATGAAGAATGGGTGGTGGCCTGGTGGTTAACGCTCTCGCTTCACACGGCGAGGGCCAGGGTACGATTCCCAGCCAGAGTAGAAACATTGGGCCTGTTTCTTTCCACCTGTTGCCTATGTTCCCCATCAGTAAAATAGGTACCTGGGTGTTAGGTGACTGATGTGGGTCGCATCCTGGGACACTGACTTAATTTGCGGGAAATGCTCAGCATAACAAGGGGTTTTCTATATACGTACAGTGGACCCCCGCTTAACGATCACCTCCAAATGCGACCAATTATGTAAGTGTATTTATGTAAGTGCGTTGTACTGTATTTGGAGTCTGAAATGACTAATCACTTCACATATTCCTTATGGAACAAAATTCGGTCAGTACTGGCACCTGAACATACTACTGGAGTGAAAAAACATCGTTAACCGGGGGTCCACTGTAGTAGTATGTCATTGTATCAGCTAGGCCTGTATCACCATTGTACTGTATAAATAAAGAATTATTATTATATTATTATTATTATTAATTAAAAGCTGCTGTATTAGCAAAATGCTGTAAAACAAAGGACTGTAAAGTGGGCTCCACCTGTACCACCATTTTGTAAACATAGAGGAGAAGACCGAACACCTTGTCAAAGGTTCAGACGGACATGTTTTAGGATTCCCTCTTGGCAACAGGTGTTTAAGTGCTGAAAATCCATGCTATGCCTAGGCTGACCATTCTCAGGGACCACTACCATCCTGACACACAATTCATTAGGCTACCTGGTAGTAGTACAGTGGACCCCCGGTTTACGATATTATTTATATTCCAGAAGTATGTTCAGGTGCCAGTACTGACCGAATTTGTTTCCATAAGGAATATTGTGAAGTAGATTAGTCCATTTCAGACCCCCAAACATACACATACAAACACGCTTACATAATACAGTGGACCCCCGGTTTACGATATTATTTCATTCCAGAAGTATGTTCAGGTGCCAGTACTGACCGAATTTGTTCCCATAAGGAATATTGTGAATTAGATTAGTCCATTTCAGATCCCCAAACATACACATACAAACGCACTTACATAAATACACTTACATAATTGGTCGCATTGGGAGGTGATCGTAAACCAGGAGTCCACTGTATTGATAATTTTATTTCAGCATGATACAATGGCTGTAGAGAGATGGTGACATTTAATTGTTCATATAGAAAGCCTATAGTTATGCAAAGCATTTTGAAAACACATAAGCCTAAATTAAGACTTCAACGGCAGTAACTAATTAATTGTTTATACGTATGTATAACTGCAACTCCTTCTCCTGTATAAATTACTAAATTTAAAAAGAAAATTCGTTCATTTTAGGCCACCCTGTCTCGGTGGGATGTGGTTGGCGTGTTGAAAGAAGAAATACATAACGACACAACACTGTCCACCTCCTGTTTGACCTTCACCTCCAGTTCTTAGGTACTGAGGCAAGTGTACTCACCTATTTGTGATTGCAGGGGTTGAATCATAGCTCCTGGGCCTGCCCCCTTACTGGTCGTTACTAGGTGTGTGGCATCCATGTGGTTTAACACTGGCTGCCAGGTCTCTGGAGAGACAGTACTATCATAGTGTGGATGTTGGGTTCCAAGTGTTTGCAGGGGCACCTGCTGGGACCTACATCATTCTCCTTAAAATAAGAACCTCTGTACTAATTTAGTTTGTCTTTAAGTGGTAAGAAAATAACGCTCAGTATAATATTCTGGAATAAAAAAAATAGTTTAATAGTGATAGTAAGATAAACCTGTACGTTTTGGGTTTTTTTTTGGTCACCCTGCCTTGGTGGGATATGGCTGGTTAGGTTAAGTTAGGTTAGGTAAGGTAAGGTAAGGTAAGGTAAGGTAAGGTTAGGTTAGGTTAGGTTAGGTTAGGTTAGGTTAGGTTAGGTTAGGCAAGGCAAGGCAAGGCAAGGCAAGGCAAGGCAAGGCAAGGCAAGGCAAGGCAAGGCAAGGCAAGGCAAGGCAAGGTAAGGTAAGGTAAGGTAAGGTAAGGTCAGGTTAGGTTAGGTTAGGTTAGGTCAGGTCAGGTCAGGTTAGGTAAGGTTCATCAGGAACAGGACAAGTGTTTCCTGATGTGAGTCTTAGTCAGATGACGACCTACCGTTGGAGCTTCTGGTCATCTGACCGAGGCCTTCTGCTGGCTTACCCCTCCACCCCTTGAAAAATTATGATCATAGTTACAACCATTTTATTAATTAAACGGCCGGTTTGTTGAAAGATGAGAATAAAACTGAACACATACGTACTTGTCTGGAATAAAAAATACAAAGTTCTCTATGTAATATAAAAAGTTTATTCAACATAGGATGTAATATACACAAGTTCAAAGTGACCTATAGATGGGAACTTATCATATTTTGTTTTCGGGAAGTTCACGTATGAATACTTTATTATATTTTGGAAATTTGATGCAAAATAATGGGCACGTTTAGACTTAATTAAATCAATGTCGATTTTACTATCTAGATTTTCACAAAAATTTTGTGCTATACAGTACATGAACATCCTGCAACAAGAGTCAACATTTTTTTTTGTGTTTGTAAAGAATATTAACTAGCTATTGTACCTAAATTCTTATTTAAGCATTACTATACGTCCACTTTCTTACTTTACGTAAAAATTAACATATACACAATGTAAGATACCAGAGGTGAAGTCCTAGTACGTAGGTGTAAATATCTAGGTCCGTTTTGGGGGGGACTAAAATTGTCTTGATAAAACACTGCAGGAAGGGACATTAGCTACCCAGTACAGTGGACCCCCGGTTAACAATATTATTTCCCTCCAGAAGTATGTTCAGGTGCCAGTACTGACCGAATTTGTTCCCATAAGGAATATTGTGAAGTAGATTAGTCCATTTCAGACCCCCAAACATACACGTACAAACGCACTTACATAAATACACTTACATAATTGGTCGCATTCGGAGGTGATCGTCATGCGGGGGTCCACTGTACTAGATGCTGAGCAGGTCGTATGTGGTTATTGTTATAGAAAGACATGACTTAGGATCATCGACTGTTATGTCATGTAGGATGATTAACTGTTACAGTGTCACTGTAGTGTAGTGCATGTCACGTAGGACCTTTATGTTACAGTGTCACTGTAGTGCGGTGAATGTCATGTAGGATCTTTATGTTACAGTGCCACTGTAGTGTGGTGCATGTCACGTAGGATCTTCATGTTACAGTGTCACTGTAGTGTAGTGCAAGTCATGTAGGACCTTCATGTTACAGTGTCACTGTAGTGCATGTCACGTAGGACCTTCATGTTACAGTGTCACTGTAGTGCAGTGCATGTCACGTAGGACCTTCATGTTACAGTGTCACTGTAGTGCAGTGCATGTCACGTAGGACCTTCATGTTAGTGTCACTGTAGTGTAGTGCATGTCACGTAGGACCTTCATGTTACAGTGTCACTGTAGTGTAGTGCATGTCATGTAGGACCTTCATGTTACAGTGTCACTGTAGTGCATGTCACGTAGGACCTTCATGTTACAGTGTCACTGTAGTGCAGTGCATGTCACATAGGACCTTCATGTTACAGTGTCACTGTAGTGCATGTCACGTAGGACCTTCATGTTACAGTGTCACTGTAGTGCAGTGTATGTCACATAGGACCTTCATGTTACAGTGTCACTGTAGTGTAGTGCATGTCACATAGGACCTTCATGTTACAGTGTCACTGTAGTGCAGTGCATGTCACATAGGACCTTCATGTTACAGTGTCACTGTAGTGCAGTGCATGTCATGTAGGACCTTCATGTTACAGTGTCACTGTAGTGTAGTGCATGTCACATAGGACCTTCATGTTACAGTGTCACTGTAGTGCAGTGCATGTCATGTAGGACCTTCATGTTACAGTGTCACTGTAGTGTAGTGCATGTCACATAGGACCTTCATGTTACAGTGTCACTGTAGTGCAGTGCATGTCACATAGGACCTTCATGTTACAGTGTCACTGTAGTGCAGTGCATGTCATGTAGGACCTTCATGTTACAGTGTCACTGTAGTGCAGTGCATGTCATGTAGGACCTTCATGTTACAGTGTCACTGTAGTGCAGTGCATGTCATGTAGGACTTTCATGTTACAGTGTCACTGTAGTGTAGTGCATGTCACATAGGACCATGTTACAGTGTCACTGTAGTGCAGTGCATGTCACATAGGACCATGTTACAGTGTCACTGTAGTGCAGTGCATGTCACGTAGGACCATGTTACAGTGTCACTGTAGTGCAGTGCATGTCACGTAGGACCATGTTACAGTGTCACTGTACTGCAGTGCATGTCACGTAGGACCATGTTACAGTGTCACTGTAGTGCAGTGCATGTCACGTAGGACCATGTTACAGTGTCACTGTAGTGCAGTGCATGTCACATAGGACCATGTTACAGTGTCACTGTAGTACAGTGCATGTCACATAGGACCATGTTACAGTGTCACTGTAGTACAGTGCATGTCACGTAGGACCATGTTACAGTGTCACTGTAGTACAGTGCATGTCACATAGGACCATGTTACAGTGTCACTGTTGTACAGTGCATGTCACATAGGACCATGTTACAGTGTCACTGTAGTACAGTGCATGTCACATAGGACCATGTTAGTGTCACTGTAGTACAGTGCATGTCACATAGGACCATGTTACAGTGTCACTGTAGTACAGTGCAATAACCAAACAAAGTTGATTACTTTTTGGACAGACAGTTCCCATATAAGACGCCTCTATTTAGTGATTTTTTTGCAAATGAAAAAAGTACAAGAAAATTATATAGTTCATGGAATGGCCTTCATAGTACGCAATGTTTAATTTTAAATATAATTTCCTAATTACATTTACAAAAAAAAAAAAATCACTATACAGAGTGGTATATAGAAGAGAGATTCCTGTAAATCTGATTTCAATGTTACTAATATTTCTTGACATTTTATGCTGCTAGGGTATAAAAGGCCTACTTACCTGGAGTATACCTTGCGAGGGCTTTGGGGGTCAATGCCCCTGCGGCCCGGTCTGTGACCAGGCTTCATGGTGGATCAGGACCTGATCAACCAGGCTGTTACTGTTGGCCGCACTTAGAATTCAACTAACGTATGGAAACTGAAAAAAAAAACCATCACGGCTCGCACACTATATACCTTCCAACTTTACGAACCGTGTAATTACAAATAAATAATTTCGCAATAGGTATCCAGTTTCATTGACATTTATATTTTACCTCTAACAAAATAATCTTTTGATATACATTAGTCAGTTTTAATAATTTAGTTTTTTTCTTTTAATAAATTTAATAAAGAATTTTCAACTCTTTTTCTTGATGATTAAGACATGTCCACAGTTAGCATCTTCACTGATGAACTGCAAATTTCTTCAGTCAATTACAGAGGCAGAAATTACAGTAGAAAGATGATGTAATCAGTCCCTCAACCTTGGAGAAATAATATTTGAGATTGTCAGTCCCTCAGCCTTCAATACTATTTCTCCATGACTTATGAAATCGTAATGACATGATTGCAAACAAACCGTACCACAAGTGGGGTTCGAACCCATGATCGATCTGGAGGTCTGAGACTCTCTGATCGCGGGTTCAAACCCCACTTGTGGTATGTCTATTTCTCCAAGGTTGTGGGACTGATTGCGTCTTCACTTCACTACTACACCTGCTGCCTCCATATCTGACTGAAGAAGCTTACTGTGTAGGCAATACATTTCATCAATAAATTATAATAAAAAAAGAAGCTCTAAACCACAAGGGCCACACAGCGCTGTTCATCAATAAAGATAAACAACTGTTGCACGTCTTAATCATTAACTTGTCGGTATTTAATAACATTTTCAACATAAATCTTTTTGTAAAGGAAATTTACTAATAAACCCCTAACTGTTTTCAGTATAAAACATTTAAGTTCTTCTAGCTAATTCACAATGAAGCAAACTGTAGTGCTTATGCTGGACTGTGTGATACTAGAACCAACACGACTCAAGAAATCGTAATGACACGATTGCAAATAAACCATACCCCCGGCTGGGATTGAACCCGCGGTCATAGAGTCTCAAAACTCCAGCCTAGTGGCTAACGTGACGGGCTGGAGTTTTGAGACTCTATGACCGCGGGTTCAATCCCAGCCGGGGGTATGGTTTAGAACCAACACCTTGATTGATCATCAAACAGGGGGCCACGTCTAGAGCCAGGCTGCAGGGGTGACGATCTCCTCCCAAAAACAAGCACGGAGGAAGGTATCTGTACAGTAGAACCCTTGTATCTGTGGTTTCAATTATCCACAGTTTACCATGGCCCCAAAAAAAATTAATTTTGCTTAATAATAGCCCAAAAGTGCAAAAGTAGTGATGGTGGCAGTTCTTCAAAGCCTAAGAGAAGCTGTGAAGTGCTTCCCATCAGTGAAAAAGTGCTAATTCTCCCACTTATCGTGTGGTGCTAATTCTCCACTTATCGTGTGGTGCTAATTCTCCACTTATCGTGTGTAATCTATCAAACGTTATCATGGGTATGTATGTAAACAAAAACGACATATGTATAGGGTCAGTTGCTATTTGCGGTAGGTGTTGGAACACATTCCCCACAGATACAGGAGGACTACTGTATATGATGCGTTGCTGACAGCGAGAACAAATTCGACTACAATAAACAGTGCTTTAAAAACTACAAATATTTATGCAAATCAAAAATATTTTTAATTTTTCTAACATTTTTATGTTTTATTTTTATATTTTTATATACAGTACATAGTTTCTGGATTGTTGTAAGACATTTTTACCACAGTTACAATGCTGAGTTTCTCCATCAAAATGCTTCAAATATTTGATTTAATATCTCAAAAATTTTCAACCAAATTCTAAAGTGAGCAAAAGTTTGAATAACCAGAGGAAATTTTCCACTGCTGCATATTATCAAACATTTTTAATTAAATAAATATGCCCAGAGTAATCTCCTTCATCTTATAAGCACGAACCACCCTAAAAATATGAAAAAAAAAATGATAATATATAAAAAAGATTTCAAACTATTATCACCAACTTGCTGTTTGTAGAGTTGAAAGTTTATTGGAAGCTGGAACGACAACTTACTACTGTATACATAAACTATTTAATTCATATTCATTTTATTTATCCATTAAACTGTCCAAACGTAGATCTATGTTCATGTGCATAGCGCTCCGAATGTAGATCTACGTTCATGTGCGTAGCGCTCCGAACGTAGATCTACGTTCATGTGCATAGCTCTCCGAACGTAGATCTACGTTCATGTGCGTAGCACTCCGAACGTAGATCTACGTTCATGTGCGTAGCGCTCCAAATGTAGATCTACGTTCATGTGCTTAGCGCTCCGAACGTAGATCTACATTCATGTGCATAGCGCTCCGAACGTAGATCTATGTTCATGTGTGTAGCGCTCCGAATGTAGATCTACGTTCATATGCGTAGCGCTCCGAACGTAGATCTACTTTCGATTTTACTTGCTTTCCTATGCAAAAAAAAAAAAAACAATATATAGGTCTACGTTTGGACAGCTTAAGGTTAACTAAAACCTGAAATATAATTTTCCTCTCATTTTCAATAATAAGAGAAATTAGAGATGGGAGTGAGGGAGGAGTGAAGAAATATACCCACATAGACGCTGTGTGACCCCCTGCGGATTTAGCGACTCCTGTTGATGAAAATAAAATAAATAAATTTAAGCTGTTATATATGCTGAGGCAGTGTGACCCAGAAAAAGAAGAGAAATAGATTTACATCTTTTTCCATTTAGTAATTTATAAAGAAGAGGTTAATAGCCCTTTGCTCCTGGCATTGTAGACGCCTCTTACAACACACTTGGCTTACGGAGGACAGATTCTTCCCTACTCAAGTCATCCTTATACGTGACTCACGAAATCGTAATGACACGATTGCAAACAAACCATATCCCGGCCGGGATTGAACCCGCGGTCAGAGAGTCTCAAAACTCCAGCCCGTCGTGTTAGCCACTAGACTAGCTAGCTGGTCTAGTGGTTAACGCGACGGGCTGGAGTTTTGAGACTCTATGACCGCGGGTTGAATCCCGGCCGGGGTATGGTTCATCCTTATACGTCATTTACACCAACAATATAAGTATTACTGTTGAGTATATATTCAGGTACAGAAATGATACTGCCGAGTTGAAATTAATTGGTGGGCTGCATTATAAAAAGTGAACTTGAAATTTAAATTATCATCATAGAAATATGATATTGCCACTTCTGGAGTCTCTCACACACAGAGGCAACCACAACTTATGACACTCAAGGTGGAATAATTTGTATATATAAATTTTCTTTACACAAAAAAGAAAAACGCAGACAGGAGAGAGAAAAGTTTATGACGATGTTTTGGTTAGACTTAAACTATTGACAAGTCACATTGTCGCTTGTAAATGATCCAAGTTAGACCAAAATGTCGTCATAGCTTTTCTCTTCTCCGTGCGGGTTATTTGTGTATTGTCCCAGTAACGGTATTGTGATTTTTTCTTTTTCACATTTTCTTCATCATCTTCAGTCTATAACCTTGATGATGCAGAAGATATGAATGATATATCTAATTAGTCTTATCTGTTTAGTCTCGTGACTCCCATGATGATAAACAATTTATATATAAACATTATCATCAGCATCCTCATGGGATAACGAAACACTTATATGATTACTGATGCAGAAGATACTCTGATTTACAAAGACTGAAAATATACATTGTCTTATACCTGGGGTTACATGTGTTATTATTTATGGTGTGGGACTTCTGAACGGTAATATATGGCAAGTAAGTTTATTTAGGTACAGGTACACTTAAGTGCAATTATCATACCTAGTAACATATAATCCCCCCAAAAAAGTCAGTGATTATTTCCATTGGGGTTTCAAAGGTAATTTATATGAAACTGGGATGTTTTCTTTCTGTGTTTTGTTAGTACGGTAAACTCCAGGTAAACTCCAGGTAATAGTCTTTAGACCGGACACCCACCACCACTTTACGTCCACCATGGACTCCAATAAACTTGTACAAAAAATCAATGGAAAAAGAATCGTTAAATAGTGCGTCTTTAAATGATGATGTTAGGAGGTAATCCCAAACATTAAATAAAGCTCACAAAGAAGAAATGGAAGAAATGACATACGTATTGCAGCATTTCAGTTTAAGGGCTGAAAGATTTTTAATTTTTTTGGGGTGGATTTTCTCATCATATTTCTTGCAAACTAAAAGATATTTTCCCTCTTCAGATTATGTATTTTAATGCCCAAGTACATGTACACCAGTTTTTTTTAGATTATAGACTTAATCAACTTATATCCAAATGCAACACAACTGCAAAGAAACGAATTAATAATGCAACAAGTCAAATGTTCAATTACTCCAGAAACACATGAAGTGAGGAAGCTTTGTCTAAATTGTTCCACTTGGCCCAGGAGCTAGGAATTTTTACTACCAGTAAATGTGTTAGCATGACCACAATGCCATTTTGAATGGAATAAATAATTTGATGTTAAGGATGGAGAATAAAAGTGAAAAATATAAATTACCATAACTCAAAATCATAATAACACGACCGCAAATATACCAAGTTGGATGAATCTTATTGTAACCAGCTGACCTAGTTAACACACTGGCCTGGAGTTTTACCATTCACTTGCCCCACCCATCTATAAATTACCATACGTGTGTCTAGATAAACGGGAGCAAGGGGCTAGTGACCCCTTCTGCATAAATTACTAAATTTAAAAGAAAAACTTTTGTTTTTCTTTTTAGGTCACCCTGCCTTGGTGGGATATGGCTGGCATGTTGAAATGTCTAGTCCTTAAATGGTCCAATTATTATTATTATAATCAAAAAGAAGCACTAAGCCACAAGGGCTATACAGCTTAAATGGTCCAAACGTATATATACGTTTTTTCAACATCTGAAAGTATGTAAAAAAAAAAAAAAAAAAAAAAAAAAAAAAAAAAAAAAAAAAAAGTAGATCTTCTTTTTTGTTTTACATTTGAAAACGTGAAAAAAAAAAAAAAAAAAAAAAAAAAAAAAAAAAAAAACTTTTATCTACATTTATTGTTTTGTTATATTTGAAAATATATAAAAAAAAAAAAATAGATCTACTTTTTTAGCAATACGAATTTGAACGTCAATCTGTTTGGACCGTTTAAGGGCTAGATAAATTATTAGCAAGTAAGGTTTTATTCAGTGGTGGTGCTTGGGGGGAAGGGGGCTGAAACCCCCAAAACCCTATAAAAAAATAATATCTGCCTCAAGACAAGTCCTCTAGCCTTTTCTTCCAACCAGATTGCCATCCCTAAATGCTTCCTATATGAACTTCAGGAGCTATGAGCCTGGCCCATGGCCGGGCTCAGAGAGTAGAGAAACTCTTGAAACTCTTCAAAGGTGCATCAAAGGTACCTCTAGTTTTAATGGGTTTGAGCAGAATCAATAGACATGTATAAGAGTGTGGTATAAACCTTGGTAATAGATACCGACAAGTTAGTTTAGAAAGACACGTAAGCAAACTCTAGGACATAGTTATCAGAAAACGTTTCAATCGTGGGACCTTGATCAAGGTCCCACAATTGAAACGTTTCCTAATAAATACAGTATGTCCTAGTGCTTGTATACATATCATTTTAAACCATGTATAAGAGTACTAAATGTACTAAAAGTAACAGAGATCCAAACTTTTAACTTTGTCGGAAGTTGGGATTGTTTACACAACTTACGCCATCTCCTCACTCCCTCAGTAAGAAAAACGGTTGGATCACTTTTTCTGCCGTTACCTGACTCTGTTCCACTACCTCTCCCAATCCAAAAAACAGTGTTATATAGTCATTCCCACTTAATATCTGAATTACGTCTCACTTTCTTTTCAAGATGTCTGTCGAATCTAAATGCTTAAGTCTAAAATGAACGTAAATAAAAATGAGTCTCTCCCTGTTAAACAATTAGGTACATCAAACATTTTGATATCTTGTTAACTAATAAAAACTCGTTCATCAAAAGATAACATATAGATTCACATTTCTCAGTGATATAATAGGTGATGTGTGAGCACATCTGCGGCTATGTGTTGCTGGCCTAACTTTCCGACTTACATTCTAACTCTTAACACACATACCTAACCTAACCCAATTACTTGTTAACTGTCTTTATTTAAAAAATTGTCTTAATTTATTAAAACAATAACTTTTTGTCATGTATTAAAAAGTGTAGAGTAATGTGGTATTTACAGTGAAGCTCAATCTCACAATGGACTAAAATTAGATCCCATAGTTAGAATATAAACCTAAAAACCCTTTCACCATAAACCCACACTCAGGCAACGAATCTCACGATGAGTCTGACCCATAGTCGGGCTCCAGGAGTAGAAAAACTCTTGGAACTCATCAAAGGTATCAACGAAGTTTTGGTCCAGAATGAACCAAAACAGTATCATAAAATTCCTCTCCCAAAAATGGGTTTTTGGTGATCTGTTCCAGCCACAGTATTGTGTAATAATGTTGGTAGAATTATCGACAATATGTTAGGTAAAAGGAACCAAGTGCAACTAATTTGACGTTTTATTGTGGCAACGTTCTGCCAAGCTCCTGGAGAGCAAAACGCTGCCACAATAAAAATGTCACATTAGTTGCATGTGTCATTTACCTAACACAGTATTATGGTCCGATATTCTTTAAAACCTTGTTTATTTACACGATGGTACTTTAGTTCTTATTTACTGCAATACACTGGACAGTTTAGGGAGATAAATAAGGTACTGTACATGGGATTTATACAAATAATTTTGTATATTATCTGTATACTGATTTTCATAAAATATAACAAAATTTAAATTAAGGCATAAAAGTGTCTATCTTTTGCTATAGTTATGGCTAAACTACGTCAAATTTTGTTATTGTACTATTTAAGTTTTCCTATCAATTGGTCAATGCTTCTCCTGCAGTAGCTGAATAGGAAAATACAGTTAGCTCTCTTAAAAACCTTCTCTGTATAGTAATTTTTTTTTTTTGTAAATACACTTGAAAAAGTGACTCGAAAATTAAATAGCATGTACTATGAAGGCCTTTCCACAAGCTCTTAAATTTCAGATGTGCTTTTCCAATGTCAATTACAAAAAAATTGCACCGTTTGGAGGAGGTTTATAAGAGAGATGTCTGTAGTTATGTAGTATTTATCAGGCTGCCAGGGTAGTCATTACACACTGGAATGTTTATTATTCTGATGCTCGGCTGTATATAAATTTTGCAATTATGAAGACAGGGCAGGAAATCATGTTGACATAGTAATAAAATAAATCTACAATGCTATATTTATAAATTTAAGGATGACCTGGGTGTCCCTGGGAAGGCAAAAGAAATTGGATAATCTGTTGTACAAATACTGTAAAACAAAGAGGCAAGTTCCTGGTCCTTGACAGGCTATGCTGTTGTTTCAGTGACACAAATATACGTGTGTGTACAAATAACTCGCACATAAAAGAGAGAAGCTTGGACCATTGACTTTTTCAATGGTCCAAGTCGGACCGAAATGTCGTCATAAGCTTCTCTCTTTTATGTGCAGGTTATTTGTGTATTGTTCCAGTCACGGTATTGTGCCTTTTTTGTTATTTACGTGTGTGAAAATAATTTGCTTACACAGCATCCTACCAAGTTCAGTTTTATCCCTGATCCGACCTTATATGTGAACAGTTACTCTTCTGCTTACATACATCACACACACAACTACAAGAAACCTACACAGAGTAGTAAAGTAGACCTAATATCTTATCATAAATAAGTGTTTATTCCACATTAATATTCTGAATATCCTCCAGTTTGATAAATTATTGAAGAACAACCATGCAAGTTTACACTGTCAAACACCACAATGAATGTTCACTAATAACCCGCATGGAGAAAGAAACACAGGTTGACTGATCTGCATATTTTGGCCCCCCCTTCTGGGATCCTCTTCATCTGCTGAAGAGGATCCCAGAAGAAGGTTGAAATACAGTGGACCCCCGGTTAACGATATTTTTTCCCTCCAGAAGTATGTTCAGGTGCCAGTACTGACCGAATTTATTCCCATAAGAAATATTGTGAAGTAGATTAGTCCATTTCAGACCCCCAAACATACACGTACAAACGCACTTACATAAATACACTTACATAATTGGTCGCATTCGGAGGTAATCGTTATGCGGGGGTCCACTGTATACAGATCAGTTAACTTCCCGTGTTTCTGTCTCCATGTGGGTTATTACTGAGCATTGACAAGTGCTCATTACACTTTAGTTATTCACCATAATAAGTGTTCAATCGTCACAATTGCCTCTTTGATGCCATCGCTCTTACTCTCAAATGTTTCAAGAATCAATTAGATCTCTTTGTAATGAGAAATATTTTTCAATACAATTTTATACAACACTACACTGTTGCTAAATAAATATCTTTTAGCAAAACTTCCGCAATGTTAATTACAGAGACCACAATGTTCGGACATGTTCCCACTGAGCGTACGCATATGGTGGCTGATATGTTTGTTGAATTAGTAGTTTCCCGTCTGCATCACATTCGAATGGTTTCTTGTCATTTTGAACTACCACATGACTATTCTGGTCCTTCTGCTGCACTGGTATCTGTTTTGCAAATTCAGCCTCTCTCCTCTCTGTATGAACAAAGCTATGGCTGTTAAGATGGCTTTCCTGCGTAAATCGCTTTCCACAATGTGTGCACTCAAATCTCTTCTCACTGTGCACGTACCTATGGCTACAAAGGTAACTCTCGTGAGAAAATCGCTTGCCGCAGACCTCACATGCGAATTTTTTTTCCTCTGTGTGCACAAATTTGTGAGTCATCAGATGGTTCTCATGGATGAACCTCTTCCCACATTCATCACATGCATATTTTTTCTCATCATCATTCATATATTTATGGGTATTTATATGATTCTTCTGCATCATTTGTTTTCCCCATTGCTGGTACTCAGCTTTCTTCCCACTGTGTGTAAATTTATGGCTGTTTAGATGAATTTCCTGGCCAAATCGTTTTCCACATTCATCGCATTCAAATTTTTTCTCTTCGTTATGCACAAACATGTGGCTACTGAGATGGCTTTCCTGAGAGAACCGTTTCCTACACACCTGACATTCATATTTCTTTTCTTCACTGTGCATAAATCTGTGGCTATTAGGTGGCTGCTCTGACTAAAACGCTTACCGCAAACATCACATTCAAAATTCTTATCACTGTGCACAAGCATATGACTATTAAGATGGCTTTCCATATTGAATCTTTTGCTACACAGAGGGCATTCAAATTTTTTTTCATTATGTACTAGCATGTGACTGTTCAGGTGACTCTCCATATTGAATCTTTTACTACAGATTTCACATTCAAATTTCTTTTCGTCACTGTGTACTAACATATGGCTATTAAGATGACATTCCATATTGAATCTCTTACCACAAACTGTACACTCGAAATTTTTATCCTCACTGTGCACTAACATATGGCTATTCAGATGACTCTCCATGTGAAAGCGTTTGGCACACAACATGCAGGAAAACTTTTTTTCGTTATGCACGAGCATATGACTTCGGAGGTGACTTTCCATGTTGAATCGTTTAGTGCATAGCGGACACTCAAACTTTTTCTCGTTATGGACGAGCATGTGGCTATTGAGGTGACTCTCCATGTTGAACCTCTTGCCGCACATTTCGCATTCGAACTTCCTATCCTCGTTGTGCACCAGCATATGGCTCGTCAAGTGGCATTCCATGTTAAATCTTTTGCTGCAAATTTGACATCCAAATTTTTTATCTTCACTATGAACAAGCATATGACTTGTTAGATGGTTTTCCATTGCAAAGCGCTTGTTGCACACCTCGCATTCAAAGTTTTTTTCTACTGTATGAACAAGGATATGGCTGTTCAGATGGCTTTCCATATTGAATCTCTTCCCGCATACTTCACACTCGAACCTCTTCTCGTTATGCACCAGCATATGACTTACAAGGTGACTCTCCATTGTAAATCGTTTATGACACAACAGACACTCGAACTTTTTCTCACTGGTATGAACAAGCATGTGACTGTTCAAATGCAGCTCCAAGGGGAATCGTTTGTCACACTGAGGACATTCAAATTTTTTATCCTCGTTGTGAACGACCATATGACTGTTCAGTTGAACTTCCATGTGAAAACGCTTACCACACATCACGCACTCAAACTTTTTGTCCTCATCATTATGAACAAGCATATGGCTTTTAAGATGGCTTTCCATGTTATATCGTTTACCGCACAATAAACATTCGTGATTTTTATCTTTACAATGCTTTAACATATGGCTGTTCAGATGGCTTCTCTGCGTGTATCGTTTTCTACATATTTCGCATTCATATTTTCTGTCCATGCAGTGTACTAGCATGTGGCTATTTAGATGATTTTGCATTGCAAACCTTTTGTCACAGATTTCGCATTCGTATTTCTTCTCAGTGATGTGTACGTGCATATGACTTGTCAGATAGTTTTCCATTGTGAATCGTTTACCACAAACTTCGCATTCAAACTTTTTTTCCCTGCTGTGTTCTAGCATATGCCCATTAAGATGACTTTCCATACTAAATCTCTTATCGCATATTTTACACTCAAAGTTCTTCTCTTTGGTATGCCATTGTATGTGGCTGGTGAGATGACTTTTCTGCGCATATCGTTTACCGCATCTCTCACATTCGTACGGCTTATCGCCATCTAGCAGATGACTGGGTTCTTTAACAGTTACATTATTTTCTTGGATGTGGTAATGTCCGTAAAAACTAGGAGGGTGGTGTATCAGGGTCTGCGTTCCAACGGCAGTCGTCTGGCTCACTTTATGAAATTTTCCAGGGTAAGGAATGTGTAGCCCTTCCATTATGAGGAATGACTGTTGTGTAATTTATATAAGTTATTCCTCAAATTGCATTTTCACGCGATCTTCTCGGTGATCACTCATCTCAGTTACATTGTTAATGCATGTTGTCTTGTTTTCATTGTTGATTTGTATTGTCTTGCTTTTATTGGTGACTTATACTGTCTTGTTACCATTGTTGATACATAAAGTCTTGCTTTTGTTTTTGACAAATATTCTCTCTTGGTCTCAAGAAGATGTATCCGTGTCCATGGACCTGAAAGACACAACTTACGTGAGACACTCAATAAAGTATAGAGTACAAGGTACACTAGACACACTCAGTAAAGTATTGAGTACAAGGTACACTAGACACACTCAGTAAAGTATAGAGTACAAGGTACACTAGACACACTCAGTAAAGTATTGAGTACAAGGTACACTAGAGACACTCAAAATATTGAGTACAAGGTACATTAGAGATACTCAATGAAGTATAGAGTACAAGGTACACTAGAGATACTCAATAAAGTAAAGAGTACAAGGTTCATTAGATGCTCAATAAAGTATAGAGTACAAGATACATTAGAGACAACAAAATATACAGAGTACAAAGTGCACTAGAGATACTCAATAAAGTATTGAGTACAAGGTACATTAGAGATAATAAAGTATAGAGTACAGTGGTACCTTGAGTTACGAACTTAATTCATTCCAGAAGGCTGTCCGATAAGGAACGAATTTGTTCCCATAAGGAATAATGTAAATTAGGTTAGTCCATTTCAGAACCCCAAAAATACACTTACAAAAGTACTTACAAAAAAACACTTACATAATTGTTTGAGTTGGGAGCTGTTCGAAACTCGAGGTACCACTCTACAGGGTACATTAGAGATACTCAATGAAGTATAAAGTACAAGGTACATTAGAGTACAAGGTATATTAAAAATCCTATAATTGCTTATTATTGCTATTTAATAACTTCATACAGACAGATAATGGCCTTAATTAGACAAAACATGCTCAAGTGAATACAAAAGTGGCCCGGTGGCTAAAGCTCCCGCTTCACACACGGAGGGCCCAGGTTCGATTCCCGGCGGGTGGAAACATTTCGACATGTTTCCTTACACTATTGTCCTGTTCACCTAGCAGCAAATAGGTACCTGGGTGTTAGTCGACTGGTGTGGGTCGCATCCTGGGGGACAAGATTGAGGACCCCAATGGAAATAAGTTAGACAGTCCTCAATGACGCACTGACTTTCTTGGGTTATCCTGGGTGGCTAACCCTCTGGGGTTAAAAATCCGAACGAAATCTTATCTTATCTTATCTTACAACATTTGGATAATGACAGATTTATAAAAATTCTGGTACAATTGTCTTCATTGGCTCACAACTAATACACTGTTGATAAAGAAATTTTAAATGTCATTCCTGACTGTCCCAGACAATTCTTAAGTCACTTGTGAGAGAAAAGGGAAGAAAGCTAAGTCAGGTCAAGTGAAGATAAGAAAGGATAACCTCTGTGTACCAGAGGCTATCCTCATGCAGTGCTGAATGTTGTCTAGCTTCATAAAAACTATGTATCATGTGGAAATGTATTATTTTTCTCTAACACATTGGCCATCTCCCACCAAGGCAGTGTGGCACAAAAAAGAAGAAACACTTTCATTGTCACTCTCGCAGTGCCAAGTCACCGTCTGGAAGAGACTCGGGCAGCGACAGTACCGGAGAACCAAGAACAACTCCATCACTGTGTGGAGAGATTATTATTTTTTTATTGTACTTCTGGATTTCTCTTAATTTCACTCTCTATCACACCTTGACGACTGTCCAGGATGCACCGAATTATCTAAAATTTCTCTCCAGACAGTAGGTTAGTTCTGAATTGTTCCAGTCATGGTACTGCAACTTTTGTGCTTTTGGCTAAGTTTTGGTTAGGATTCAGATTATATAGATTTAAATTAGGGTAAGTGTCAGTACTCACTATAATTACTCAATTCCAATTCCACACACTGAAATTTTACAAATTGTGAAAAAGGAGCGGCATGGAATTGTATTTACCCTGTTCAGCCTACTATTAACTTTCGGTTTTGAACATGTTTGTGCTGGTTCTACAATTTTGATGTTAGATCCAACATACAGCCTCTTCTCACTTCTCGTTTTCCGATGACTTGGACTTACGACGGCTCTCTGACCAGTATTCATACCTAAATAATACATGTTAGAGCTGATTTCCTCTATTCTGCTTATTACAGTATATATAGTATATAGAGTATATGTAGTATATATAGTATATACAGTATATATAGTATACTACTGTATAAACATTTAAAAATATACCAAAAATGTTATAAATGGCACAAAGGTGACAGTAAAACAATATCAAAAAAAAATATCAAAGATGGTTGATATAAACCCACTACCATTATAGTGTGCTCCTCACTTACCGACGAATTTGTTTACCGATGAGGTCTTAGGAACGGAACTCCGTCATTAAGTGAGTAGAGGCTGTATATCACATACAAGTCGTGGAGGCAGGAAATACACTGCCTGCACTCTGAAGGATGGGATGTGGATATATTGCAGTTTTTCTAACGGTAGTGTCAGCATGCTTCTGGCAAGACAGTGATGGAGTGAGTGATGACGAAAGTGTTTCTTCTTTTTCGGGTCACCCTACCCTGGTGGGAAACGGCCGATGTGTTAATAAAAAAACAAATAGGTTTCTGAAAAATCGTGGAGATTCTCTACCTGAACACCATTCCCAAATTTGTCAGAGACACACATGCCACAGTTCACACAAATAACCCGCACATAGGAAAGGGGAGCTTACGATGATGTTTCAACCCAACTTGGACCACACTCACACTGTGTGACTTTGTAAGTGGTCCAAGTCAGACCGAAACATCGCCGTAAGCTCCCCTCTCCTATGTGTGGGTTATTTGTGTACTGCTCCCATCACAGTATTGTACCTTTTTGTTATTTGTACCACAGTAGTCAGTCTGTTGACATACTCCTCTGGAGATGGGTTCAGCTTTATGCTTTCCCCTAGGGTGTCATATCTGAGGTTTAAAGCCTTCATTCCCTAGAACGCATTTCATAGCTGGTCCTCTCCACTGAGTTTCATAACCTTGCACTAACTGGGGTTGACATACAAAAGTTTACATGCATCATCACAGGTGACCATCCCCCACACTGTCAGTTAACCCTTAAACGGTCCAAACGTATATATACGTCCACGCGCGTAGCGCCCCAAACGTATATGTTTTCTTTGTCATTCATTCAACATTGCCACGATAAGCCTGAGTCACCTAGACATGAGAGAATGGGTGTGCGCACTCACTGTGTTCCATATTAAAATAATTGGGGATGCCTGGGCACTATATGCTCTTTTTTCCTTTTAAAAGAAAAGTTTTTTTTTTCCTCAAAAAAGTTGGGGCGCTACGCGAGTGAACGTATATATACGTTTGGACTGTTTAAAGGTTAAATGCAGATCTACGTTGTGTGTAGCGCTCCAAATGTAGATCTACATATTTTTTTTTACATAAGAAAGCGTGTAAAATCAAACGCACATCTACATTTGGAGCACTACGCACGTGAACACAGACCTACGTTCAGATGACTATGCATGTGAACGTAGATCTACGTTCGGAGCGCAACGCACGTGAATGTAGATCTACATTTGGACAGTTTAACCCCTTCAGGGTCCAAGGCCAAAATCTGAAGTGGTGCTCCAGTGTCCAAGAAATTTTGAAAAAAAAAAAAAAAAAAAAATATTTTTTCTTACAGAATTAAAGAGCATATTTTTGTGAAGGTAATAAGACAAAAAAAAAATTTTTCTGATCAGTACTTACCGAGATACAGTGCCAAGAAGTTTGTCCAAAATGATGTGGTGGCGGCAACATCGACGAATTCCACAGACGCACATTACTTTATTTAGCGGTTTTTATAGTTTTTTCTTTGCTTTTCCAATTTTTTTTCTTTTCCTACTAACATTTGGGGCCTGAGAGACCAATACGGTATATAATGTATATATATAAACTCACTGTATTGAACACAATAACTGCACTAAAGTTATTATCATATTATTGTTTACCACTGTTGTTTATTACAATAAACATGCACAAATCTTGTATAATACAGTGGACCCCCGGTTAACGATATTTTTTCATTCCAGAAGTATGTTCAGGTGCCAGTACTGACCGAATTTGTTCCCATAAGGAATATTGTGAAGTAGATTAGTCCATTTCAGACCCCCAAACATACACGTACAAACGCACTTACATAAATACACTTACATAATTGGTCGCATTCGGAGGTGATCGTTATGCGGGGGTCCACTATACTAATGTTCTATCATATATTTACATATTTACAATCACTGGACATGGTTTTAGAACTGCTGGAGCTTGTGGAACTCCTTGAAACAAGGCACGCATAAACCAAGTGTCTTTGCATCTTTGTTGCCGTCGTTTTGTTTGTGCACAGACGATGCATCTCTTCTGAGCAAATTTCTTCCGAGTTGCAGGAAGCTGTATTATGAAATGATCACCTTCCCTCCTCAAACGCTTGGGTATATCCTGAGTAACTCGAGGACCTTGTTGTATAGCAGGTGTTCTTACCTGGTACTTCATTATGAGTTGTCTGACAACAGACAAACAAACTTCACCATACAGTGGTCTGTTGCCAGTCTTTATTTGGTACATATTATATGCATTGAGCATTAAAATGTCCATGAGATGGAAGAAAAGTTTCATGTACCACTTGTAACTCTTACGAACACAATCAACAAAACCAATCTGCATGTCACATTTGTCAACCAAGCACATGTTTTGTGTATAATCAATCACTGTCACTGGTTTTCGAATACGTTCATTAGTCACTCGATCAACTTTGCCACTGTCTTGCATTTCATTACGGTGAATGATTGTCAACAATGTGACATCTCGTTTGTCATGCCACCGTAATGCCATGATGTCACTGGCAGTAAACACCTGCACATCATCACCACGAGCACCTGCGTTGAGCCTGGGCATATGTTTACGATTAGAACGCACTGTGCCACACACATCTGTCTTGTTCACTCGCATGAAATCACTGAGTAATGGGCTTGTGTACCAGTTATCGGTATATAATGTATGCCCCTTACCAAGATAAGGTGCCATCATGTTTCTCACTACGTCACCTGAGATACCCAATAACATCTTGGTATCTTTCAATGTTTTACATCCCGTGTATACAACAATATCCAACACCAGGCCACTGTCACAGTCACAGAGTACAAACAGTTTTATACCAAAGCGTTTCCTCTTGCTCGGTATATACTGCTTGAATGACAGTCTACCTTTGAACAAAATCAAAGACTCATCAATTACAAGATTCTTGAATGGATAAAAGTATATCCTGAACTTTTGTTTGAGATACATGAAAACATTTCTAATCTTGTATAACCTGTCACTTCTGTCAGGCCTGGTTTTGTCAGAGAAGTGCAACATACGTAAGAGTAAGATAAACCTGTTCACTGGGATGATTTCACTGAAGACCGGGGTAGAAATTAGCCGATCTGTGGACCAGTATGCTTTTATATTATGCTTATAGACGTGAGGCATAAGCATTATTGTTGCAAAAAGCAAATACATTTCTGCAACAGTCGTCTCTTTCCACCTGTGTAGTCTTGACTGTGATGATATGATCGTATTTGCCATGGTGTACTCAAAATACTTATTACTTTCCCTGACAATAGTTTCCATCAATGGCTGGTCAAAGAATAATTCAAAGAATTCCAGTTCATTGGCCGTGGTTCCAAGGGGACAAGTTGGTAGAATTCCACTTTGAGAGTGGTGGGGCTTGGGAACAAAATTGGGATTTTGCTGCCAATCCCAGATACGGTTTGCTGGTGGATACTGGACATCATAGGCTGGTTGTGCGGGTGGTTGTGGTTGTGGTGGGCTGGTGGCTGACGCTCCGCTTTGTCCTTGAACTGACGAGTCAGCAGCGTGGGTCCCAGCCTGGGCTGGTGAGTCACGCATGGCGGTGCCACTACCATCACCACTAACACCATCCACTGATGCCTGTGGTCTATCCATGCCAAGTGTAGCCACATCATCCTCACTATCACTATCTAAACCTGGTGTAGGGCCATGGGATGTACTCCGGGATGTACTCCAAGATGTACTCCGTCCCCTGGGCACAGCATAGGGTACACTACCCGAGCGCATGCGGCGGCGAACATACCGACGCTTCACTGGTGAATATGATTCCTCACTATCACTACTCGAATGATCATCAAGCGCAATAAAATCACAATCCACGTCACTATCATCATCATTACTGAAGTCAGAGGCCTTCCCACGCGAAAATATTAGTTTTCTCTTGCGTTGAGGCACAACCGACCGTGAGTCACGAGCGCCCACACCAGAGGTAGAAGGTTGAGGATCGTCAGGGTTTTCTGAATTATTATCGATATCCTGGTCATTCCTTTCGGTCACTAATTGATCAAAGCCATAGAATTCGTCTTCATTTCCACTTCCATCAGTGTCAGAACTATCAGATAGGAAGAGGAGAGTCCCAATTTTCCGGGGAGTGAGAGCTGACTTGCGACGAGGCATGGTGAACAAGGGTAACTGAGCCGGCGTTCCCACAATGCTATGCGGGCTCCTAGATTTTTTGTTTATGGCGCACACCCACCATGCAGACCCGTTCTCTCACATGTAGGCCTATGAGCGCTTTCGCGCTAAATTTGATGGCGCTAGAATTTTGGCATAGATCTACGGTTTGGACACTCAACGTGAAGCCGTAGATCTACGGGACGGACCCTGAAAGGGTTAAGGGTTAAGAAGTCTTAAAGCATTAAAATTAGTTTACCCAAAATACACTGCATACTAGTAGCTTTCTTTTGTGCTTAACAATATTTTATTACATGTAAACTAAATTATCTTTGTATGGCATAAAAAAATTAACTGTTTCCCCTAATAAGTAATATTGTAATAGAATTGACCATAAAACAAACTGCATACAGTAAGCTCTCTTATAAAGATCCTTTATACAGTATAGTGCAAATTTTTGTAAATGCGACTGAAAAAGTACATCTAAAATTGAGTAGCACATGAAAGGCCTCCACATTATGTGGCAATTAATTTTGGATGAACTTTTCAATTTCATTTACACAAAACTGCTCTCCTGTATATAGAATAACTACGATCTTAATCCTACTGGCATTTTTGCACGTATTTTAATTATATTCACCATTGAAATATATATATTTAAAAAATTGTCTAACTTACTTATTTTTTTTTTTTATTATCACACCGGCCGATTCCCACCAAGGCAGGGTGGCCCGAAAAAGAAAAACTTTCACCATCATTCACTCCATCACTGTCTTGCCAGAAGGGTGCTTTACACTACAGTTTTTAAACTGCAACATTAACACCCCTCCTTCAGAGTGCAGGCACTGTACTTCCCATCTCCAGGACTCAAGTCCGGCCTGCCGGTTTCCCTGAATCCCTTCATAAATGTTACTTTGCTCACACTCCAACAGCACGTCAAGTATTAAAAACCATTTGTCTCCATTCACTCCTATCAAACACGCTCACAGCATGCCTGCTGAAGTCCAAGCCCCTCGCACACAAAACCTCCTTTACCCCCTCCCTCCAACCCTTCCTAGGCCGACCCCTACCCGCCT